ATATATATATATATGTATATATATATATATATATATTATATATATATATACATATATATTATTTATATTATATTATATACACATATATATATATATGTATACATATATATATATATATATATATATATACCGCTTAACAGTATTGGTACAACATATACACGCACATGCACGCTTGTCTGACTTTTCATTGTAGCTATTACATGTGCCCTCACTGACCCACCCAACCTCGTATCCCTGAAAACTACCCACAGGCATTGAATTTGAGTTAGTATTAGAGGAGAATTGGTCCATACAGCTGCCACAGTGTAGTCCTGGCGACAAGTTCACCTTTGAGATTGCGATCATTGTTCCCGAACTCTGTCTTATTGAGCATGAGGTAGGCACGCAGCGTGTGTGTTAAGACGGGTAGGAGCGAGTCAGTTTGGGCACACGCGGCGTGTGGGTTGACTATATATTTATGTATCTATATATTTAAATATTTATATATATATTTTTATGTATTTTTATGTATTTATATATATATATATATATATATTTATATACATTTATATTTATATATATATGTGTGTGTGTGTGTGTGTGTGCACATAAATGCGTGTGTGGTGTATGTATGTGTATGTGTGTGCGGGGGGGGGTATGTGCGTGCACGTGAATGATTTTCTGTTTGTGTGAATGCATGTTCGCGTGTGTCTATACCTAGCGAGTGCGTTGCGTATCATATTGAGTACCATGCGGTGTCTTCTGACAACTCCCCGTCAATTGAATGCAAATATATTTAGGGGTTTTCTCTCAATCATCCAAAGTACATTCAGTCTATATATATACAGGCTTGTACATATTGCTATGCATTGGCCATAGCAATCTCTATACAACATTGCAAATCGGATTCGCTCTCAGCTAAGTGTCCTAATACACTCGAGTTTGTTAATTCGCAACTATAAATTGGGCTGGCTCTCAAATAAGTGTCTTAATACAATGGAGTTTTTATACGCAACTATATATAGGGATCGCTCTCAAATACGCATCCTGATAAATTGCGTATCATACCCAATTACAGGTTGGATTCGATCTCATGTACTCGAAGTCAACGGCTGAGGTGTTCAAGCTGGCCAGTGTATTGGCACTACAATTCCACAACGCCTTCTCTGTGCACACGGACTCCGCGCTCACATCCGATTTAGTGAAATACATTAAAGCCGACATTCAGGTGTGTGGGTCCGTTTATGTTGTGGGCGTTTGATTGATCTGCTGTGAGAATACATGACTAAGCAGTGCAAGTGAACACACGTATGGTTCGTAGTATCCGATTTAGTGGCATAAATCTTTGCCGACATTCGGGTGTGGGAGTCCATCAATATTGGGATGTCCCGATTTTCACTTTGGGGATCGATTCGTCCGGAGTCGCTGCAAGGATATTGCATACGATTCCATCAAACAATATTACGCCTGCATCGAGATACGGGAAGCTGTTGTTCTTGTGATAGCCAACTTATCACGTATTCAAATACCAAGGATCATGCGTGTGTGTGAAATCGATGATGATGACTCTATATACCTCTGACGGATAAGCAAATGTGTCACCATCACTCGCACTCCTTGTTACATTGTGCTATCCAGTCGCATCTCCCCATCCCGATCCAACTGGTAAATGTGGAGTTGACCACTCAATTAAAAAATACTAAGGTAACCCCGTCATCAGCCAACGCCCTGGTATCGGCAACGGTATGTGTATGAGCTATGAAGTATGTCACTATTGGCAGTGTATGCTCTGATTGGTCTGTGTACATGATTAGATATCTGAATATTATATATATATATATATGTGTGTGTGTGTGTGTATGTGTATGCATGTATGTATAAGTATATTTATATATACATATATTATATATATATATATATATATATATATATCTATATATATATATATATATATGTGTGTGTGTGTGTGTGTGTGTGTGT